ATAAAAAACATTTCAATTCTGAATTGTCTCTTCTGAATGATTGATGTGAATATAACTGTAGTTGGTCTTAGTGCACTATGTAATGCCAATATTATATTTATGAAAATAGACCCAGCTTTTAACCAGAAATGCACTTTTACTTCATCAAATATTCACTTTAGATGTTTTGTGGGAAGCTAAAACTATCAATCACTTCAGAAGTGGTAAATTTTGCTGTGAGCAATAATCCATTCAGTGATGACATCAGTGGAGTTTTGAATATTTTTTTAAACATAATCAGCTTTTAAAATTAATAAATCAAGAATTTTAATTGCATTTTTAAATTTTTATTATATCATTTTAATGAACATTGAAAACATTTCACTGTTGCTTTTCTCATCATCTTTGAGTCATAATGTATACCATGATTGTTTCAGTCAGTTATCAATAATTATTATATTTATAACTAAGTATATGGCCACTTCATGATAATCTTATGCCATCTGTAAGTCTAAAATTTATCACTAGGAAGCTTAATATGGCACTTTATAGGCATCATTAACTATAGGAAAGCTTTGAGAAAATATGACTTGCCTATACATGTAATATACAAACCAAGAACCAGATAGTATTGTTACGTCTCCGTTCGTTAGTTAATTTTCCGTAAAAATTCTTTCCGAAGAAACTTTACCGATACAAGTCCTTTCTTCAATAAAACTGGTTTATTCTTTCTGAATACAACTTTGAGATACAGTTAATTTCAACAGTCGTGCTGTAACAAATGCTATAATTCACAACGAACATCTCACGTGCTCGACTCAACAATACTCTGTCCGCAGTTCAATTACACATTACATTACCTTCTTCCCGTTGCTTCTTGGCCGGTCTTATATATACAAGACTACCCCATATCTAGTAGTCTCCCGACGCTTCATGAACGTTCTAGAAGTGCGTGGCGTGTTACTAGCATCACGTGACCTCCGCTGTCGTAACAGTATGTTCAGCATTTAACTGTGGTGAGTGTCATGAAACAGTGTACTTGAAGTGTTAAAAAGGAGTTCAAAGAAAAGAATAATATATTCCACAAAAGTACATGTAACATGTAGTAGATACTTTACTTGGGAAGTGGGCTCTGGTTAGATTATGATTTAATAAATATTGCAGTGTTACTGGGATGGTAGAGCATAATAAAGATCAAAAAAGTGCTAAAACATGGTTTACAGAATCCTTGTTGCCTTTCCACCATCAAGACAGAATAAATGCATCAAGATTTTTATCAATTGATAATGCGAGTTCTTTCTTTCTTGTCTGAAATGATAACTTGTAAATTTGTTTCATAGTTTATTTTTTTAAGTATTTCCTGTATTAAAACCTTTTAATTTTCATCTTCTTCCTTTAACTGTAAATACTTGAATCTATTTTGTATTGTAGGTCTTGTGTCTCTTTACTTACAACTATGTTAATAAATTCTGTTTTTAAAAATATCCTTGTTTAAAATCAAGTATAAAGTATGAATGTATTACTGACTTGTTAATTATGTGGTTATTAGACAGTTAATCAGTTCTTCAAGAAGCCACAAAGCAAATATCAATCTAGTAAATTGTAGTTCACATTAAAGGTTAATTTTTTATGTTACTGTTCTTCCCACCTTAAATGAAAAAAAGAGAATTCAGTTATATTTCATATCATAAATTCTTACTTTTTTTTGCCATATTCTTTCCTTAGATAACCTATCTTCTTGGAGCATTATCAGCAGTAGGTGCTTCTGTGTGGCTGTACTTTGGATATGGAGATACATTCCGTTACATAGAAGTCTATGCTGTTGCTGTTTTAATAGGGATTGGAGGTTCTACAATGCTAATTACTAGTCTGTCCTTGACATCTGATCTAATAGGCAATAACACGGTAAAAAAATCATCCGAAGAGAACCAGATATCAACAGAAGAAAAATAGCTTAAACCCTCTTGATAATCACCCTCTATGTATATTAATATTGTATCCACCTCTTTTTACTAATCAAGCTAATTTAATGCTATCTACAAACGTGTTCTCGCCATCAAGAGTCTGTAAAGTTCTTTTTAAATCAACTATCTTTTTGAATTTAATTCTTACCTGATGATGATTCAATAGTATAAGTTGAAATGTTGTAATTACTTAAGTAAGAAAATGCCTACTGTAAAAGTTATTCTCATTCAATTTTGAATTAATTATTTAGATCAGCAGGTCCCCTACTAAACATTAACTCATTATATTGTTGTAACATTCTTTCGTTGAACTGGTTATTTTAAATTATGGTTGAAAATAAGGCCAAGTTCAGTCCACATAACAATAAAAATTATTTTATTTCTTCCTTGATGTTTGCTACAGGCTGCAAGCACTACAACCAACATACAAATAAACTTACTTGTACAGTTTCACTGTTATTTAATCACATAACTGAATATATGCAATAAGTGTTACTTATTTACTGTTCTGTACACTTCATCTTGATTGGCACTCTATTAACTGAAAACTGACTCTGTGTTTTACTGATTCTCATTTATAATATAGCCTTTTTTCTAAATATTTTGCAGTCTCTCAGTCATTAAATCATCATTATTAGTAGTAGCTCCATCTAGCCAACAAATTAAAACATTGAAAATATAGAAACTATAGCTTACAACACTGCCCTCTTGCAGGATTATCAAGTGCCTTGAGAATTCTTAATATTAAAATAAAACACTACACTAAACTGTCCATTCATCAAGCCTTTTTGGTGGTTTTCTCTTCAGAGGCCCATAGTATATAGATGGGATGGCTTCTTGTCCCTTGTCACTGGTGCTGGAGAAGTTGGTTCTTCCTAGGTGGGTGGTCAAGTTAATCTACTAGAAGCTCTATCCTTGTTGATCCTCTGGGCTCTTCAGCTAATTCCTATTTCCCACATTTATAACAGTTCCCTCTTTCTAAAATACCTTTGGGAGGAGTTATTATTACAAGAGTATTAAATATACACCTGGAAAAAAGTTAAGCACCCCCAAATATTTTTCAGGATTGCTTAT